AATGTAATATACATATAATATTATTTATTTATTTATATATTATTGTTTATTATTTTATGTAATATATAAAGTAATTTTTTAAATCCAATCGGATCCTGATATGGATTAAGGCCAATGGATACTTTTCAGTTCCAAATCAGGATAACTGTGGATCTAGATCCGAACGCACTCAATCTCAGTCCTACATTGGGGATCACAAATTAGTTATGTGCATCCCCGGATAAACTACTTTTCCATTATCAAGAATAGAGCGGCATTTTTACCCTAGGGAGCATAGTTAAACTTTGACCACTTTATCACGAGAAAGAAAAGGAATGAACTAGATTCATAAAAAAGCCAACTTTTACCGGGGCCAAAAACAAGATTCAAAGAAAAGGATTTCATAGATTTCTGCAGGTATATATATATATATATATATTGAAAAGGATTTCATAGATTTCTGCAGATATATATATATATATATATGGGAAACGATGCCATACGCGACATCACATATATGAAACTCGTGCGCCAATGGTGAGGATGTTTCCCATGTAATCGGACAGCCCATATTAGAGGGGGGAAATTCAAACACAGAAAGTCTCTCTCTTTCTCTCTAAGTGCACTCTTCCCCCTCTAAGTGCTCTCTCCCTCTCTCTATAATCACACTCGCTCTCCCCATTGACATGCTGAAATTCCCTTTCCCTCTCTCTTTTTCTCTCTAATATCATTACCCTGAAATTCCCTCTCTCTCTCTCTCTCTAAGCACACAAACGTTGAACCCCATTGCATTTTTTGTGTGCGCTGAAACTCGTGGATTTCGAGTTGCAGATTGGATTCCTCTACTGCGGATCAGAATACGGGAAGCTGATTTCAAGCTTTCCCCTATTTCAGGTATGAAAAACCTTCAATTTCAGGTATGAAAAACCTTCGATTTTGCTACCAAAACCAAATGGGAAAACCTTCGATTATAAAATGGTGCTTGCATCTTTGCTAACAAAATGCAAATAGGAAACTTGCATTTTCCCCAATCTTTGCTACCAAAATACAATTGGGAAAACCTTCAATTATAAAATGGTGCTTGCATTTTCCCCAATCTTTGCTACCAAAACCAGATGGGGAAAACCTTAGATTGTAAAACGTGCTTGCATTTGTGCGGTGAAAGTGTTACACATAGCACTTTTTTATTTTTTTTTATTGCTGCCTTTTTATTTTTTTTTAAAGCTCCTGCATCTATATTGAACATGAATCATTTTGATATGATAAAATCTTCTTTTATTTAATAGCTTCTTATGCTTGCATTATCTGAAATCGTGTATATTAAATGCCAATATTTAAGGGTTTTGGATTTTCAGACATTGAATGTATAACACATAGCACATTTTTTCTTTTTTTGATGATAGAACAAGTTGATGATAGAAACCGATGACTTAAAAAACGGATCGGTGACCCAGATCGGGCATCTCAAAAATTGATCCGGATTGGCGAATCGGCGATCCGGATCAAGAATCGGGTTGAATCGCTCGGATTAAACTTTAAAAAAATTATTAAAATTCATCATAAATGTTGTTTCTTAGGAATCCAATAAGAAATAAGAGTACTACATTATTAACTTTCATTGTTTTCATCAATTTATAAATATTGAGATGTTCTTTCCCTGTATGAATTTATGTTGACCATTAAATTTACAGCACACAAAAGTAATCATAGAATTATCATGGATTAAGTATATAATTATATATGGACTACAATAAAGAGTTGACTAAATCGATGAAAAATTGGCCACTAAAATCTCGAATTGGCGGAAAACCCTAATCCTCTAAAAAAACCCAAATTATTACAACCTAACTAACTATAATATTATATACCCACAATATTTTATAATTATTTTACTATATAAATAATAGCAAATCCAAAATATTTTATAATATCATCTAATTTAAAATGTATTATTGATAACTCTAAGAAAAATAGTACACGATTTATAATACAAAAATTAATAAATAAAATAAAAGATTTGGTTATCAATGTAGAAATTGTTAGTATGCGTACCAATTTTTTTAAACTTTTTCGGTTTCAAGAATAAATTGGTGGAAGAGATTGTTAGTAGAAAGAGAGAGATTTCAAATACCCTTATTGTATGAATCCTATCTTTAAATTAATATTACTAAATTTATGTTAAAGACCATTATAAAAATAAAAATATAATTGGACCATTTATTCCTAGATTGTATTAAGAAATACCTTTTATTTTTTTGACAAGAAATACTTATTGTGTTATCTTTTATTTTTTTTCTTATTGTGTTATCTTTTATTTTTTTTTACAAGAGAAATGTGATACTTGTTGATTATCTTCTTTTTTTTTTTTTGACAAAAGAAGAAGATGTCGTACTACATTTTTTTTTGCTTGTTGTATCGCTTTTTATTTTTTTTTACAAGAAAAATAAAAAAAATGATCCTGCCAAAGTATATTTTATTTTTTTATGCCTTTTGTTTTATTTTTTTTGCAAGAAATACTAGTTATATTACCTTGTATTTTTTTTACAAGAAAAATAAAAAAATGTTGTATTATCTTTTTTATCTTTATCTTGAAAAACCTTTTATTTTATTTTTTTTATTTTTTTACAACAGTATTTTTTGCCTTTGTTTATTTTTTTGACAACAAATTATATGTTTTTTACAAGAAAAATAAAAAAATGTTGTATTATTTTTTTTATCTGTATTTTGAAAAGCTTTTTATTTTATATTTTTTCTATTTTTTTACAACAGTATTTTATGCCTTGCTTTATTTTTTTGACAACAAAAGTTTTTTGTTGTGCGCTACGGGTTTCGAACTAAAATTTTTTTTTGTTGTGCACTAAGGCTAAGGGGTTCGAAGTCAAAAAAATTTTTGTTGTGCGCTAAGGGTTCGAACTCAAAAAAATTTTGGTTGTGCGCTAAGGGGTTCGAACTCTGGGCGTCCACCGCAAAATCCAAGTTGTCAACCAAGACGGCCGCATCGCCTCATGTGATTTTATTTGATTCTATAATAATATATATTCAAACATCTTGCTTTAATGATTTTTTGTGGGAACTATCCCACATCGAAAGATGAGTGTTGCTTGGTTCTTTATAAAGTCTTTTGTAATAGATGCTCTGTTGCGTATGTAGAAAAGCGAGGAGAAAGACATGTGAGGTGAGTTACCACGTGTTGCACTCGTGAGACGGCTACTTGTGGCCACGAGTTGTTCTCGTGAGGCAGGCACGTGTAAAAAAAGATATTTTTTTGGTGAGACTCGCGATTCACTATTGAAAAATCGCCCGGTTCTCTCTGAACACAGGCGATTCCCGGTTTTTTCGTTGAACGAGTTTTCAAACAATGATAGAAACCCTACAACCAAATCAAGATGAAACAACTTGCTAATCGTTCCTAGAATGACCAGAACACTTCATGTGTCTTCGAATAAAACTAGTAGGGGATTTGGTTCGGGGTGAATACATGTAATTGATTATTGTTTTTCATCAGCCTTGATCATCCTAGTTCCTTAACAGCCAGACCTTAACAAATAGATTTAACTTCGAAAAACGTAAATCTGCCAATAACCTTCCATATTTTGTCATGGATTTCATGTAGAACTTTTTTACTGCTGAATTTTTACATAAATTGGCAGACCATGCCTTAAAAAATAAATAAACCCTTTGCCAAACACTTTTTACCTTTTGGGCATAATCAATTATATCTTTTACATTTTAATGTGAACAACTGATGTGTTTGTTGGGCTTCCTGGTATCAGGTGAACAATGTTGGGACATACATAGTAAAACCCACTGTTGAGTATACAGCTGAGGAACTCTCATTTGTAATGGAAACGAACTTTGGATCTGGTTACCAGATGTGTCAACTCTCACATCCTCTACTAAAAGCATCACGAGTGGGAAGCATTGTATTCATATCCTCGACTGCTGGGGTGGTTGCTGTAGACGTGGGTACTCCATATGCAGCAACTAAAGGAGATTTTAATCTTTGACTCTTTCATTTTGTGCCGTTGTTTTCTAATTTCTCTATCTCTTTCTCTCTCTTGTGTGCATGTGTCAGTGTAGGAGGCCATGACTCAAGCACAGTACCCGGCCTTGGACTGGGGCTGAGTGTTCCAGACTAAAAAGTGTTAAAAAATAATTAAAACCTCAAAAATATGAAAAATCAGTTTACAGCAAAATTTAACAAAATACATCTAATGAGATAAAAAGTAGTAAAAAATAGATTTTGAAAAATCAATTTGCTACAAGGAGTATTTTAAAAATAATCCAAGAAAGAAGTGAAAATATAAAAATAAGTATTCATGACTAAAACACTTTCCATTCTTTAAAGTAATAAAAAACATTAAAAACACGTTATAAATAATTTTTTTCTTATTTTTTTAGGTTTTTTCAATAGTATTTTTTTTTGTTTTGTGTTTTGTTTTTTTTAAGAGCCCGAACTTGACAATATGTGTATTTGGACAAGCTAACAGTCTTATCCAATAAATAACCATGTGAACTCTTATAGCCCTATCGCTCTTGAGAAAGTGTTGTCCTAAGTAGTCATACCCATTTAAAAAAATCCCTTTTTAATGGGAATTGATAGGTAACAGGTTCCTTTTTAGTCCTGATGGCCATTTTGTTGGTCTTTTGAAAATAATCAGGGTTTCAAAATCATGTGCACCCAAATGGCCCTTAACTAAGCATGAATATGGATTTCTTTTGTAGTAGGGTTGCAAGCATTTATGTTGGTTTCTGAATAACCGAAGGAGCCCAACGGGCTTCTCTAGTTATTCGCAGAAGTGGAACAAACACTTCCTAAAACTATTCAGTAACGGATGGCGGTGAAAGTAGTTTTGCTTTTGATTCAGTGATCCATCCAAACAGGGCCATGTGTATTGGCCCAATTATGTATTCCTATTCGTTTTGCTCTATGAAGTGAACTAACTTTGATGATTTCACATGGAAAAGGAATTTCTTCATAATAAAAATGTAACCAGATTAATGTAGAATCCTGAAGCTGCGTTTGAAGAAAGAAGATTAGATATAATTGGCATCCCAATTACAAAACCCCAAAACCTTAATATTCAAATAGTCATGATGGGAGGAAAAACTTGTTCGAAGATATGCAACATGTGCTACATAAATCCTTAGGATCATTGGCCAAACCTAGGGGTGGCCCAGACCCAACTCGGGACTCGTTGGGTATACCCGACACGGGTCAGGTATGGGTCTAGCATTTAGACCCGGTTGGTTGGGTCCGGGTTCAAAACTTAGACCCGAACATTATACAGCTCTGGGACCAGCTAGACCTGACCCATACTTGTAAACTGTTAGAGTTAAAATAATATACTTTACTTTAAGCCCTATTCATTTGGGTGTATTAAGGATCGTATATAATTAGAACTGGTAGTCATATTTAGTTATTAAACGACAAATCACAGGGCTTGAAATCTAATAATGGGTGATTATGACCTTGTTGCCAAGAATATGGGTATATGATGGTAAAAAAAGGGGCAAAAAAAGAGAAAAAAAGAAGCTCATAGTGAGGGTGACAATGGACCCGAGATCCGATGGGGTAGACTCATAACCCAACGGGTATGGGTATGGGTCAAATTTTTGGGCTCGACAGGTCAGGTTTGGATCCAAAACTTGGACCTGGATCTATTCGGGTTTGGGTCCAAGTCCAGCCAGACCTGCTCCATACCCGACCTGTTGCCACCCCTATCCAAATCTAACGGCTGAGATGTATCATTCTTCACCAAAGTCAACATATGGTTCATCAAACTCAATTGTTGACAACAAAAAGTTTAAGATTCTTGTGGTATAGTGTTTGTTAGGGACGTGTGTCAGGATATAAAAATCCAAAAGGTAATATGAAATGGGCGGGGTTTGTATAGAGCCAGGGCGCTAAACAATCGAATTAGAGGCTGCCTTCATATAGCGTCGAGAAATATGGTTTGAGTAGTGAAAATCTTTGTGATAGCTTTAAAATATATTTTGATATTTATTTATAGAGAAATGATCCAATGCAAAGGTTGTATCATAATATAATGCACACTTTTAAAAAACTATGTTTGTGGTATTTGTAGAACCCTAAATTTGTACACACTCACTTTTCATCTCAAAAATCAATCCCCCCCTCCAAAAAAAAAAGTTATATTGGAACCCTAGATATGGTCAAAATGAGTCGCCTCCAGAAATGAACCTAGACCATTCATTTTGTGAATTTCAAGATCTAAGCCTTTATAAACTAAAAATCAATTTTTTTATTTTTTAACATTGCTCATCTAATGATAATAAAACCATCCAAAAAAATTGAAAATGAAAAAATCCTTCTAAGGCCTAGATCTAAGCATCTCACCAAAATGAACAGCCTATGTTAATTGGGCTAAAAAATACTTTCTAAGTTGTGTTTTCAAAGTCTTTTTTTTTTTTGTGATTATTCATTAGAATGAAAAGAGTGTATATTTTAAAAATTGGATCAAACAAATGGCCATAAGATGGATTTTTAGGATTGTTACATTATATTACTATACAACGGTTGAAGGAAATGCCTTATTTATAAAGTTTAAAGCTTCAAAAATAGTGTAGATTGACATATCTATGAAAACTTGAAAATCCTGAAAACTGGCGGTCCAAAAAATACGTTACAAAATATACTAATTCCAAAACTTGCAATCCATTTTTTTCTTATGTCCATATATCTCGATGTCTAGATGATCTATTTGAAGATATTTGGGCATCAAAACAACCTCTTCTAGTGAAATTTTTGAAATGGGCTCAAATTTGATTGTTTAGAGCCTCAGCTTTATATAAACTTTTCTCATATGTAATTAAAAAATTTGTTTTTAGTGGTTTTAGTGGAGTTTCATCTCTTTTTCCTTTGGATTTAGCCTGAAAAAGTAAACCATGTAAATCTTGGATCCTTCAAGTGAACCATGTAAATCTTGGATCCTTCAAGTGATTTATTTATTTATTTGCTTTATTGTATGTTTTTCTCACTCATACACATACATATTTGGTGTTTTTGTCCTATAGGATAACGAGTTTTGTTGCGTGCATTTGAATTTTTGCGAGAGGACTAAAATTGAGCGTATCAGACTCACCGCATTTTACAAGCACCTTTCTAGAATCAAACTCCACTTATTAGCATAGTACAACTGGTTTTGTCGATTGAAGCCAAAAAGAAAAAAGAAAAGAAAAAAGAAAGAAAGAAAGGAAAAACCTCTTTTTTGCTTATATTTGCAAAAAGAGGAGATTTTTTGCTTATATTAACAAAAAAACAAGGAAACTGTGAGAGACGATGAAGTGACCTATTATCGAATGTGACTTTAATAGCATATGAAGATAATGTGATTTAATTTTTTTTTCTTTTTTTTTTTTCCTTTGGGAGAGACATCAATATATATGTTCCTTAACAATATATGAAAAATTATAAAATGAGACCATTTACCTCTGATATAAGGTAGTTGCAATTAATCTTAACCATTAGATATGAAATTGAGTGACTGTATCTATTCCATTGACCCAGCTTAAAGTTAAAAGAAAAATTTCTCGAGCTTTGTGGCACACCAAAATTATCAGATTTCATATCAATAGTTATAAATAATTGTGATCTCATTGTACTAATCGTTAAATGGTCGTAGAACCCCATGATGTATATGCTCATCGGTATAAACAATCATCTTACGCAAAAGGTACAGCAGCATTTTTGTCCTAGTCAGAATAGTAAACTTCAACAAGGGGTCCACTTTATGGCAAGAAAGAAAACGAGTGAATTAGACTCACAGACAAGGACCTCATATACACACACGTTTGGAGCACGTATACTATACTCCTGCAGGAGCATCTGTGAAGCTACTCCAGCTACTCTCTGATGCAAGACACCTATTTAGTAATAGTATTTTAGACTAAACTGAACCACAAAACAATTACTAAATGAATATTTTCAAAATAAAAAAGTTAAGTTTTAAATTGTTTAACACTTTTTATTTCGATCTTATTTTTTTATTTTTATTTTTTATTTTTTAACCTGATACTAGTTTATGGATTATAGAGATTATATCACCAAAATCTGAGATCTAAAAAGTATTCCTATCATCATGTGTTATGCCCGAGGAAGTAAATGGATAGTGTACTCCCACACGAGTAGGAAACTTTTGGAAACCTTTTTTTTTTTCATTATGAAATAAAAAGAGAAACAAAAAATCAATGGAAATGGAGGGAGCAGAGAACATGAAAAGAGGACAGAGATGATCTCTGCTCTACTTGTCTCTCTCTCTCGGGTCGTTCCCATTGAGTGCTGCGTGCATATTGTAGCTTGTTTGTTCTAGATCTTCTTGCCCTTGATTTCATCTACATTTGTTTCTTTTTATGAATTCACATTGTTGTGTTCCTCTCATATGCTTCATTTTTTCTTATTTTCTTGGAGAGGGATGTGTTCCTCTCAATGATTTCTGGACTCTTATTTCTTTCTTTTTCCTCTCTCACACACAGAGACCCTTTGTGATGCTCTTTCAGTTTTGGGTGGTCCGTAAATTTTTGGCTTGTAGTCAATTGAGAGATTGGTGGATTAGAATTTGTTATAATTAATTAAAGGATTGTAGACAAAGAGATCATCTATCTTTGTATATGAAAGTCACAATCATTTTTGTCTTTTAAATTTCAAAATGAGTGGTTGTAATGTATGTTCGTGAAAAATTGATTATTTCGACGTTTATGGATAAGAAACCATATAGATTGTAAAGCTAGAAAGAATCTAAATAACAATGGCATTTTATTACATTTGTCAAAAGCATTATTTTTGGACTAGGCCGAGTAACTGCACACCTGTGCAGATAATAACTGTTTTTTGGTACCAAAAATTTTAGTCTAAACTAATATTACTAGTAAGGTGTCTTATGCCTAACTGCATATATGCTCCTGCAGGAACATAGGATACGGGCTCCAATGGTTTTGTGTATGAGTTCCTTGTTGGTGAATGTAATTCATTCGTTTTCTTTCTTGCCATAAAGTGGGCTCTCGTCCAAGTTTAACTATTCTGCCTAGGGCAAAAATGCTGCATTACCTTTTGCGTATGATAATTGTCTATACCTAAGACCCTGTATATTGAGAAAGGTTTCTATGCTCCCCTACTAGAAGATATATATCCCTCAATCCAGCCGTTCAATTTTGATTAATGAGTCACTGACCGTTTGAGCTAGATTCTACTCTTAAGACTATTTTATGTTAAATCTTTTCCTACAAATTATATGAATAATAAAATTCGGTACTTGCTATCAACTCAATGGGGTGCACATTAAAAAAAATGTTTAAAAATATTTTTGGTAAAATACAATGATCAAAATACCCCTAACACTTATAGGGGCATTTTGGTTATTTTATTTTATTGAGAATATTTATTTTATATTTGTTACATGTGCGAGTTTAATAGAGGAGTGGACACACAAAATTTGGTGTCAAAATATTTTGTAGAAAGAAGTAAAAATAAAATAGTATAAAAGCGTGACATTGTGATTCGGATCATATC